GCAGCTTTAAGATAAATACCAGGTACTAGAGAATAACAGCACACAGAGGGCAATGTGAGGCTTCAAGATAATATTTCTCTACTAGTTTTTGATGTGCAAATAAAAGATCTACTTAACAGGCTTAGGAAGTACCATTAATACTCAGCCTTTATTCAGTGTAGCAGTATCTCTTTACACTTAAGGGTAAATCATTGAAATATAGGATGTGTTGAGTTGGAAGGAATCTTAAAGATCATCTAGTTCCAACCCCCTTGCCACAGGCAGGGACACCTCCCACTTGACCAGGTTGCTCAGAGCCTCATCCAGTACAATGGTGTAAAAAACCTGCATCATTTCTTCCTCCTGCCTTTGTGTTCACCTTGCTTCTGGGAATGCATATACCTGCTTAAGCAGGGTGGAGAGGGCATAAGGGGATAGAGGGGTTAAAAGGCTGAAAACTGTTAGCAAAGTAGCATTGATCAAAGCACTTCTGAGTGGGGCATTCTTGCAAAAGTGTCATTTGATCCATAAACCATGAGGCAGTAGATAATGGAGAGAGTAACCAATGTATTTATTATGATGTTGCTTAAGGGGGTTCAGGATTTCCAGCTAAATTTGGAAAAGCACTGCACCCATCTCAGCTGAAGTGGCTTGTAGTAGTTTAGCTTCTCTCGTCATATCAAAACAAAACTTTAAATCAAAAACATGACTGGGAATAATTTTGGGGGCAGGGAGAAAAGTTGCATAGAGCCTTTTTTTGTACTTATCTTGAGCACAAGCCAAAGGTGGCTAGGAGTTGTAGCCCAACAGTGCAGATGGAAGGAAGGGGAAGAGATGGTGTTCAGAGTTCTCCCAAAAGAGAGCAGAATGCCTGATGGGGAAACCTGCAAGAAGGTAGCAGGTCCAAATGGTTTAGTCTCTCCTTCCCTTTCTCACTGTGCACCTCTGCAGTGTGTTCAAGTACAAGCTGTGAGATGGAGTAGGACAGGTAGGGATGTAAACCAAGCACTTTCTTCTGCATTCTAGTACTATTTTCTGTAAAGGCTGCAACGCAACGCTGGAATTTAGTCAGCTGCACCACTGAGCTGATGCAGGCCCGCTTCTATGAAGCCTAGGGCTAGCACGCTCAGACTGGTGCTGCTCTCACATTCTGTACACTTAGTTCAGCTGCTTGAAGTTTTATCCGTATTTAAACATCCTGGAAGAGGATGCCAACCAGTTAGACGCTGTAGAGTCTTCTTCCCACTGCAAAACTGCCAGAAGCTTCTTGCAGGATTAACACAGAAGCCCACTTCGTGGAACAAACTGTGCCTCTGGTTGAAGATATTAACAAACCAGAGCACACAGACAGCCAGGAAAAAGCTCTCCCAGCTGTCTTACCCTGAAGCGCTGATGTAAACAGCTCAAGCTAGCTGTGTCTGAAACATCACTAGGGTCACAGACCATAGAAAGTGATGTTAACAGTAGGTGCCTCAGGATAAATTCATCCCCTAGAGATAACACAGAGGATCCAGTTGTGCTGCTAGTGCCGAGAGGTTTGGCAGAGAGCTTAGAAGAGATATGAGACCGCACCTCAGTTTCCAGGATCTCCTGCATTGTTTCTTCTGCAGGCTACTATTAGCCAAACTAAAATCCAGGAATTATTTTTATTTCCTTATGTCTCCAGGTGGAAGACCAAAGGGTACAGCCACTTTGGTAATGCTAAAGCCACAGACTTCCCTGTGTAGCACCTCTGCTCTGCATGTTTCACACAAGAAGCTAATGCCTTCACAACAGGATGCAAGCCATAGCAAAGGGCACATTTCTCCTCTTCTCTGAGCATAAATGAACCATCCCTGCCTCCACATTTATGTGTTACAATTAAAATAAATCAAACAGTAAGTATAAATTGCTGCTGATTGGAATAGCTTCCTGTTTCTACCTTGTAGTTCCCATTGAAAATTGCCACTTGAAAAATAAAGAGAAGGAAAAAAGCTTTTTAGAGATTGTATTTTTTCACATGTGACAGGATAGCTCTCCTTGAGCCTGTACTTAGCCTGCAATTGTGTTTTAGAAAGATAAACTCAGCAGCTGATTAGCAAACGCTCCTCTCATCCTGAATTACTCTGAAGCCCTGCAGAGGTCATATCAGCACCAAATGAGATGGTTCTAATCAGGGGTATAACAGTAAATACAGGTTAGTTTATAATTAATACAAAATTAAGTGGTCATCAGGAATGCTGATTTAAACCTCTTGGAAGATAATAGAACAAAATTTCAAACTCTTTTTCTCTTTTCGACACCTACTGAAGAAAAGTGTCCCTAAAGAAAGGTATCCCTAACATACGTGGTGACAAAGGTCAGCACTTAGGTCACATCTGATAGTACTTTGCTGACTGTAAAAGTTTTAAGTAATACAACTTCCTAAAAGCTCATTTTCTATTTTCAGGTCTTGTTCCTGCCCTGTGGCCTTTTTTCCAGTCTGAGGCAATCAGTCTGATCCCCCTCAATGGCCTGCCAAACCTCACAGGTTTCAGCATGGCTATTCTGCTCCTCCAAGAAACAGTTCAGGACACCACGGTTTACTGGGCAAGCCCAGACTAATAGAGCTGTAATTTTACTTGCACAGCTCCACTTCTAGGGCAATTCCACCAGAGATGGATTTTAATCAGCGTATTTGGTTTTCTAGAAAGGAAAGGAAGCTAGTGGCTTCCCTTCTGCACAGGAGGTGTTTCAGCTGAGGAACCATTTTCCCTGGGATGGTTTACACCAGGGTAAACCTACAAGATGGGGAATGCTGGGAACAGGAAAAGTGATACCAGGCTGCAGGTTGAAAGCTTAGAGACCCAAAGGATGGCTGACTGGGTGTTTACTTCAAGCAAATTCCAGAAATGTAGCTTGGATTTGCTATATACGGCACCATTGCTGGGGCCAAACACATCTTTCATGTACACAGCCTGGTGCAAGCTTCATAGATTTCTAACAACAGTATTGGCGATTTGCTGGGCAAAATGATGTAAAAAAAATTAGTCCAAATTACATTTCAAAGCTAGACTCTTGAGAGAGTGATTGATATGGCAATTATGAATAGTATTTCTAAAAAAAATATGAAATATCAATTTAAAGAACGAAACCGTTTACATCTGCAAAATAATACTGCAAATAATTTTCAAATCAGCTGCTTAGTCATTGTCACCTACTAGCTGGTGCACTGGGGACATAATACATCATTGCTCTTAGTCCAGATCCAAGCAAAATGGTCACAAAACATATCACATTTTTTGATACAATCTCAAAGTAGACTTATATAATCATTCTGAATAAACGCATTGGAGACTGAATTACTGCTGATCCCTAAACCTGGAAGCACAACAGGATTATACCTACTCTTTAGAATGTCTCTTTCCTGTCCTAAGTTAACCTCAAAGTGTCTTTTAAATAGTGCATTGTATCCTGCATTTTCATATAATAAATACTGATTCAAAACTCCCAGGCAAAATTTTAAATGTTCTTGTTTTCATAGCTGCAGGGCACCAATTAATGAAGAAAAGGACTGCAGTTCATTTGAGAGCCGCAAAGATAAGTTGCCAGTAATGACAATGAGAACATGATGCGGATCAGCAGATAAATCATACTCTAGAAAATTCATACCCTTCACCAATTTCAGTAATCGGTTTTTCTCTGTACCTGTATAACCTGCTTCAGGGAAAAGAAATGTCATGATTTACAAAATAGACATGGAGTTAGGCAATCAAAAAACCCAGCTATAAAACAGATGAGCTAGGCACCAAATGCACCTTTGCACGGATATGTTCCTATGTTTCCATGGGTCCACACAACTTGCTGGTGTAGATACAGTCATTTGCTCCATAAAGGTACTTAGCTTACATGCCTTAAACTAAGTGGAAGAGGAACTGAAAATCTTATTTTCTCCCACAGTCAAAAACTAAAAGCCTGCTTGTAAACATTTTTCTTAATTGTTGAACTTTTAGTATTGGGCTTTCTTGCCATGGCATCCACCTATTCCTGGTTAATCCAGTGTGTAGTTCACCTTTTTTGTAGTTCACTAGGTGTGAAAGTAGCTCCCATCAAGAAAATTATAAAAGCCTATGGCATCACTTTTCTCACATTAAGTACCTATCCACATAAATGAGGCCTTTTCCTGTTTTGCTGCATGAGCTAAATTCCACTGGGAGTACACTACACCAGTAGGCTCTTGTGTTTAATTCAAGAAAAATTTTTTTCTGCTCTATACTGTATTTAAATCTTAAAATCTTAAATATCTCCTGAACTTCATATGATGCCTATAGATTGCCAAAAAAGATTTTCTGGTTCTTTCGCTATTTTTCTACTCCACAAAAAGCAACCTGGCCAGGCACTTTACTGTTTATTCCTTTCCTCTATAGTTACAGCACATTTCATTTTACTATCATAAGGAAGAAAGAGCACAAAAATAGCCCAAATTGTAAAAAAGAAATTATTTGCATGTGAATTATCACGTGTGCAATGGCTGTCTGTATGTAAGTGACAAATACCACTCTAAGATCATTATCAGTCAATTTTAGAACTATAGTAAAAATGCACTAGGAGCAAAACTAAATACTGAAATAACATAGGACTGTATACACTGCCAATTACTCCCAAGATAAAAGAATGCGTCAGAAGCAACATGTGGAGAGTAATCTCTCCAAGTTTATAGCTCAGCTCAGAGATAGAATATCTAAAGTCTTTTCATTAGTTTCAAGACTACTAAAAAGTGGTTCTGTCATGCTGCATTTGCGAAGAGCTCATAGGAAGGTATAACAACCAGCCTGCTGAGCATGCCTTAACTTATTAGCCTTACTACCACTATGGTAAACACAACTTAATTCATAATGATTGAAAAAAATCCGTATTTTATGAGGAAATTCAAAACGGAATGTCAAAGAGAAAACAATTATAAATACTGTCTGTTTCTGGTTACTGCAAGCCACCTTTATGGGAACAAAATTCTATATCAACCACATAATTGAGATCAAAACCTTTTGGTTTTATTAAATTCATCAGCTCGAAAATTCACAGATAATTAAGACATTTGAACTCAAACAATTAACGTCATTCCATTTTCCAGAGTCTTGTATTACTGCACAGTCTTCATTTTTTAGATTATTTGGTTCTCCATCTTTCCAGTTGCTGTAAGTTACAGCTCCTCCATTCAGATACATGAACCTGCCTTCAGTCTGTTCATCAGATATCCCCATATAAGCCTGCTTTGAAGGTGCCATTAAGTCTTTTATGGCCGTATTTTCAGCCTCATTCCTAGGAGAGGCAAGTACACTCCCAGCTTTTTCACAAAGGGATTTTCCATTGGCAAAAGTATCTTCTTTTCCAGTTGAGACAAATATTTTTCTACCAATACTCTTGATCTTCTTTAAAATCAAAGCTAGAAACAAGAGCGAACATAATTGTATGATACCAAAAATTGATCATGCTATAGTTATTTATCAATATCACAACTGTACTTCAGAAGTAGCTAATACTAGCTATAAAAAAACCTATTTTTTGAAGTAGCAGGTAGAATCCAATAGAAGTCAAAACAGACATCTGGAAATATCAAGTCCACACTTCAAGAAAACTGTAACTTCACAAGAAACTGGATCAAAACTCTAGTTCTAATGTTTTTAATTTTCACTTTATATAGTATTACAGCTCTCGAACCATGATCTGAAGGAATTCACACTCAAATTGCAAGCATGACAAAATAGCTTGCCGGGTTTCAATGCAAACCTGAAGGACTGTAACAGAATTCAGGTTTTAAGGCAACAAAGCAGAAAGAGGAGACATGGGGACAGCTTTAGCAGGCCTGAGAAACTGAGCATTTTTCCAGGAAATATAGATTATCCTAGGATAAGTAGGAGTAGTAGCTCACATGCTTGACAGGCTTTCATAAAAAGCCAATGGAAAGTTCTTTTCAACCTACTGCTTTCAGTCCCTTCTCCAGAAAGGAAACTAATCCAGGTCAAAAGGAAAACTAATTAGCGATGGACCTTACCTTGTTTGTATCTGTTTAGTTCAGTCTCCAAAACTTGTATTTTTGTTTCCAAAGCAGTTACTTTTCTCTGCAGGTCATCGGCTACTACAACTAGGAGTTAAAGGTGTTATTTAGTATTTTATATTAAAATTACTACACAACAACTGTCTCTGAGATGCTTAGCTCTCCTGCACCATGTGAGAGAGCTATTTGGCTTGCAGAGCAGAAACCACAGGCCACATTGCAGATTTGTTCCATGAGAATTTGTTCCACTGGGAGAGGCTCATCCCCCACTGGGATGAATATTTGGGTGGGCTTTGAATTCTTACTGTTGCCGAAGTCATCTTTTAGTCAGACGGAAAAGCCCAGTTCTTAAAGGCACAACATACATGTAAACGCAATTGAATTAATGAAAATTGAAGCAAAACCCACATTAACAAGCAAAGAACAAAAGAAAAAAACATGCTGTTTAAAATATGAGATAAAGGGCTTCTTTTTTCATTCACAGGAAACAATAAACTAGCAACTCATTCCAGGCACCTTTCCCCCCTGGAGTTGTGTTGGTCAATTAATCTCCTATGTAACAGATGGTTTATCTGTCTGCCCCTCAGACTTCTGGAAATCACACTTTTCCTCAAATGATGTTGTAAGAATGGTAGACATAACATAAATGTTTTTTGTTAAATATACTAAAAGGTTGAAAACCAGATTATAGAAATATGAGAAAGTTATTTCTTACTTCCACGTTCTCCTTTTTCTCCTTTCTCTCCTTGTGGTCCTAAGTCTCCTTTTAATCCTGGAGGTCCCACTTTTCCAGGGAAACCTGGTGGACCTCTCAGTTCTTCTCCTAGAGTTTGATTTAAAAGGTATTTTTAAAAAAAGTTTTGTTAGTGTTTTGAGAGAGTACCAAACATTGCTTGCTTTGTTTATTCCCCATCGAAAATAAAAACAACTCAGGAAAATCAAATTATTCCCATGGAAAGATTCACTTTCTAGGAAATGCATTACTTCAATTAAAAATTCTTTACTACACCTACTTATGGCGTTGAAAATCCATTAAATAAATGTTGTCTAATGTTATTGCAGGGGTAACATATGCTTTAAAAAAAGAAAGCCAATATACTTCAGCTGTCCTCCAATCACACATGACAGCACATAACCTAAAAAATGAGCTAAATTGCAAGATGAAGCAGTTTTTTGAAGCAGGTAGTGCTGGCTTTACTTATTTCAACCATGAAATGGCAGAGGGCATCATAGTGAGGGTTTGTGGACTAGAAAACATCTATATACACTATCAATACACGTCACTAAAATTTTATGTCATAGTTCATATCAAGTAGTATTTTTAATGATGAGAACTTGCTTGGAGGTTGAAAAGCAGTTACCTAATTCCAAGATGTGTAGTATACACATGATAACACAGACAGGATACAGTAAGAAAACATATGATTCCATATGTACCGATTAAGTGTTTGGACAGAAGCTATGATTTGGCAGCCTGGGAGAGGAGGTGACTTGGTTCTCCCGTGACAGAAAGCACTTGTTGATCTATTTGCTGTTTGCAGCAGGGCATGACAAGAAGTTACCTAACTGACAGATCATGCCTTTGGGTGAATTCTGTTATTGAGACTCAGTGAGTATGAAGCAATCAAGTTACGGCCATCGGATTAGTGGCCAACTCTAGGAAGTATGATTTCTGGTTTTGAGAGCTGGCCCCTGGAAAGAAAAAGCAATAATAATTTAGGAGGGTATCGTAGGAAACTCTGCAAGTGATTCAGAGTACAAATAGTACAATCAGATGTAAATCTCATTACATCTCCATTTTACAGACTGCTGTGAAAATGTACTGTATTTTTTTATTTATTAAACGCCAAGTATCTAAGGTAGCATTATAAATGCAGAAAACATTTTCAGCTTCCTGAAGTTGTGCAGAGGCTACAAAAGGTTACTGGGGCAGATGACAAAGAGAGAAGTAAAAAGACAAAGTGAAAAAAAGAATAAAGCAGACGTGAAACAGAACAAAAGGGATAACAAGGAGTGTCAAAAATACAATACTGCTAAATGGCCATAGCTCTATACCTGGTTCTCCTTTTTCACCTTTGGGACCATCTCTTCCATCTCTGCCTGGTAAGCCAATGACTGCAGGAGCACTGCACTGAATTACTGGGCAGGAATAAGTTTTCTCTTCAGGTTTATCCATGTTCACTGAACTTGGTACCATCAGCAGTGAAAGCCAAAGTACCAAGGCATTGGAAGGCTGAAGGAGAGTCATTGCTAAGTCCACAGATCTGTGACAAATCAAGCAGAGTGACTTCATAAATTTCTCCATTTATGCAATTTTAAAGGTTTGCCTAGGAAAGAGTTGCCTGCGTTGCATCCCACCTTCAGGCAAAAGACCAAGAACAAGGGATAGGGTCTGAACCATCTAATCTAGCTTCTGATTGTATCTTCATCTATGGAAACTACAAAAGAAAACCCCAAGTTTATAAGAATCTGAAAATCTCAAGGTTTAATGAAGATACCTAATATAGCAACAGTCATCAGTCTCACCATGCTGCAAATCCATTCCAATGTTTTGTTCATCATATGTCTAAATAAATTTAGAAGCATTTCTCTGCATGCCAAAGGATTCCTACAGCATTCCAGTTTAAGATGAATACTGAACTCTCAGCTATAGTGTTTGTTTTCTGATTGCTGTATGTCTAAGCTTAGAGTGATTAAGCTGTTTCTCTTGACAGCATCTCCACTAATAGCAAACGCTCATATATCATAAAACAAAAAGCTTAACTGCATTCAAGTAGTAATAATATGATTGCCTCCCAGTTTCTCCTTTTAGACCTTGTATGTTAATAAGACACTTTTCTTCCTCAGCATTGTAACTCAGAGCTGAAGTCCCCTTGGATTCCAGATCTGCAATACTTTGCTTCCCTCTCTGAGCAGAAGAACAGTAACAAGCAGTAACATCATAAGGCAAAAGCTCTGTGTGATGTTCTGAAAAACTACACCACAGTAATTGTCCTTGATTTTAATATGAGGGTCAAATTTGAGGCAATCATGTCCCATGTATTGTGTGTTTAACTAAAAAAAACCCAAACAAACAAAAAACAAAAGGAAACCACCAGAAACATGAGCTGACAAACTTTTACAGTAAATAAGCCACATTCTAAAGTAAGCCTAAGGAAGTACTGTTTGTTTGACAGATTAAGATGATAAAAAAAATCAAATCCAGCATGATTTTTGCTAGTTGCCTTAATTATTTCACTTTATTTGAAGTTTCAGAAAAGATTACACACAGAGAGGAGCTTCCTCTGTCATGTTTCATCTGATAAAGTACAATCACTAGTATATTACCGTGAGAACATTATCTTCAGGATAAAAAGCAGAGTTTAAGAAGCACTGCTTTTCTACAGACATCTTTGTGCTTCCTCCATTAGACTCACATCAAAATCTGGGGCAATAACATACACCAAAGTAAAATAAAGTTAGTTATTTAGCTAACTAGTATAAAAAAACCTTGATATTTCTTATGCAGCTTCAGGGGCTCAAGCCAGTTCTTATCAGCCCTCTGAGGATTTCCTTCTGCTGGATTTTTATACTATGTTAATTATCCAATACCAGGAAAGTTGACATTGCTGCTGCCTCCCATGAAGGCAGCATGACAAAGCTCAAAATAATGGCACAATTAAATAAACCGTGAAAAACAAAATATTAGAATCTCGGGAATATACGCTCCCTATGGAGACTCAGCTTCACACAAAACTTTGTTGTTTTTGTCTGCCAGGAGCCAAGATCTCTTTATTTCCGAAGTTTTCCAGGTTGACCACTCCAATCCTTTATTCTAGGAGAGTCAAAGTGCCTGCTTACCTTTGAAAAATCTAGGGCAGGGTTTCCTAGCGATGAAATCACTTCCCAAAGAGACTAATGATAATTTGCACCAAGAATGGTTTAGATAAAAAGAGCAAAATGTTCCACATTCCTCAAAAAATGAAGTAAATCTTAGGGAGCTGAAGCAGAAAAAACAGTCTTGCAATCCATATTTATATTTAGAGAAGCTGGAGAAGCCCACATGGAGAAACACACTATGTGTGGGTGTAATGACAGTCCTCAGGTCTCAAGTCTTACATAGCTGCAGGCTTTCTCAGCAGAGATCAGAACTAGGCCTTGAAAGACGCCATGAAACTTTTATATTCAGGAGGTTGCTAGTTCTGGAGGTTCTATTTAAAGACATAGATCTTGGGTAATACTTTTGTTCTTCTATGAAAAGTACTTTAGGACATGATTCACCCAATGCAGGTATCATCAGTGAAGGGATCCTGCAAGAGGCAGCAGGAAGTCCTTGCTCCACATACAGTCTTGTAGGTGAGGGCTCTGAGCCATCAGCCCAAAACCTGAGAGTCTGACAGCATAGAGCAGCCCTACCGAAGTCAAGTACTAGGGAAACTGTTCCTCAAAAGCAGATATTGCATTTATACAGAGAGAGAATGCTGTTAAACTGAGAGATTGCAACCTGCTAACAGTCCTTCTCACCAGCTTGCTGGGCTTCAGTAGGGCAGCCTACAAAAGTCCTTTCTAACCAGCATGTCTGCACCTGCAAGGGTTGCATGGTCTCAGTACGGTCAAATACTTATCACAGCAAAAGAGATCTTTACTTACCAACACCTTTACTTGATCAGTACACAGTGAAACTCTTATCGCATCACTGGCTTTCCTGAGAGCCAGCACAACAGAATGCAGTAGAGAAGAAATGGAACAGAAGCCTGCTGGATTTTTACCATAAAGATGAGCCTGCCAAGAGGAAAAAATAAAACAAAACTCCTAGATTTCTACTAAAAGTTGTAGTTTTGGTTACTGCCTTATCTCTGTCTTGCACAATCCTAATGATTGCCTACCTCAATCTTATCACCCCTATTTACCGGTCCTGCATATGACATTCTGGTAAGTGAGGCCTTTGCTCTTTGCCTGGCCTTGGACAGACATTGGCTGTGTTACAGTACAAATGAACAACCGAAAAATCAGAACAACTGCAGGCACTGAAAGCTTTGACTGTAAGGTTTTTCCCCTTTATTCAGTCAATGGATTCATTTTTTAAAAACCTAGGAGAGGGAAGGATATTTGAGGCTTGCCTGACTGCAGTGGCTGCCTTTCCCGCAACATACTGTGAAATACTCCTGGACAAAAAAAGTGGCCAACTCAATCATACCCATTTATCTTTAAAAATTGGATGTGGGATTTGGAAAAACAATATGGGATGAAGAAATATATCTTTAAACTTTTTAGCAAATCACTTACTACTTGTCTTCCTGTAATGCTAGTGATAAAGTTAGTGGTTAGAATAAACTTCTCAATAGAATTTGCTCTATCCAGCTGGCTGTGGTACCATTGTGTGGACATGAATAAGTCCAGTAGCAAGAATAGTGTGGGGGATATTGCTATGGACAGGTCTGTAAATTAAAAACAAAATGCTGAGAAAGAGATATCTTGGGTAATTCTGCTTGCAGAAAATTTCCTTACCTAGAAGAATGTCTGTTAGACATCTCCAGCTGCAAAAGCCAGTTCAAACTCTCCATCACTGCAGCAGTGTCTCCAGTGGTTCTATTCTTAAGATCCCGTTTCTGGGGCTGTTGTTCTTTGACGTGGCATCAGATAAAAGATATCATAGGCTGTCAGGCTGCCTTTGTGTCTTTCCTATTCAGGAGCTAGAATAAACTTAATCTCAGTAAAAAGAAAATGAAAACATCAGTTCAGAACAGTGCTATTTGTCAGCCATGATTTGACAAGAATATTGTAGAGTCAACATCATTAAACAGACATTTGGAATTAGAGAACTATCTTATTAAATAGGAAGCTGAAATCTCCACACTGACCTTTGTTGTTTTGGCCAAGGACTAAAAGTGGTATCTATATGCTGTCAACACATGGCATCCAGGGCTCCTCCTGTAACCTTGTAATCCACAAAACACGCCTGGTTTGTTGAATGCCTGTTGAGCTTCTCTGAAGGTTGCTTCTCTGAAAAAGCAAACAGGTTTCTCAGCAATTTCTCCATCCCTAGATTCTCACCAGGTCAGGACACCATCTTGCCGAAACATAGTTTATCACACAGTAGAAATTTTACTAAACTGTGGCAGACCCAGCATATTTATATGCAGTATCCAAACCTACAAGACTATTGTACATTCTTGCATCAAGTGACAAATAAAACTCGGAAGGGCAGGTGGCTTATTATTCACAAATTATTAAATATCTTTCTTCACTAGATTTTTTACTTTTCTATCTCTTAATTTCTATACAACCTTCCCTTAGTCCAGAATTATTTGGTTCTTCCAGCTGAAAATTGAACTTCTTACTATTTAGATACTTGAATGTGCCTTCTTTCTGGGTATCATTTATTTGGGGGAATGGTCTGATGGCTGGCTGCTCCTTGGTAGGTGGTGCAGCTCTCTGCAGATTTCCTTGGAGAAGCAAGCAGCTCAGCATGTGAGAACACATGGCTTTTGAAGTTTCAAACTTGCTTTTGGAGCCATCAGTTTTGAGTATTCTTCACCAGCATCAATATTACATGGGAATAACAGAAGTGGGAACTATATCCAATTATTTTAATCACTGTATAGCAGGGTGACAGCTTCTAGACACTTGCAAAAGAATCTGTGGCTAAAGCAGTGAACAGAAATGCACAGCTAGCTCATTGATTCACTTTGATGTTAGACTGATGGTGTGCTCTTATCCCCAAACCAGAAGTTTACAAAGTATTTCAGAATTTTTCATTGAGACAACTAGAGTCAGGATTAAATACTTCTAAAGAACAAAACCCTATGAATAACCTTATGTCAGAAAAACCTCAGACCAGCCATCATGAAGCACCATTCTTAATAGGTGCCCATACAGTGACCTTAATTAGAGCTCTTAGGAAAATATAAAGTGGAAGCTCTCCCATGCAGATCTTTTCTTTCTGAATTAGTAGTGATTTATATCCGTGCCTGTGTAACCTACCATGCACCTGTACTTCTGCACAGTAACAAGGATAAAGGAGAGCTGAAGCTTTTCATTTATTTCTTTTCACTTGTCAGCCTCCCACAGAGACAATGCAGATGAGCAGTTGCTTCCATTTTGGGCTAGTACCCTGAGTCAATCCTCATCAATGATAAAATCCTTGCAAGTCCTGCATCCACCCTGTATATCAAGAGCAAGATAAAAGTATCCACTGCTTATAGGAGAGAAGGGAATTTATGTAGTGGGACACACTAGGAACAATGCTGTAGTAATAGCACAGGTAAG